GAAGCCGGCGACTGATCTGCCTCGCCAGAGAAGAGCGCAATGATGGTGCCAACTTGGGCCAGTGAAGCAACATCCTCCACAACTAGTTTGAAGAACAAAACGACAGCAACTTGTCTGTTCCCCTTCCCCCAATTCCCCAGCACTGTTTCCATCCCCCCAATTCCCCAATAAAAATCTTAACAACAACAAAAAAAGTGAACAGAGGAGGGAAACAAGAGTATTTATTAGCAGCAAAGTTTTAATGGTAAAGGTGAGTGACTGGGAATTTCTGTGATTTTTCTCAAATGGAAATATTTTTAATTAGCCCATATTGTTACATATAAATATTATTTATATTACAATTTTCTAGAAATATCAAAACATATTCAGATTTTTAAAAGTACGGCACATCATTGGAAGATAAAAATGAATGTCACATTTCTTCCCTTAAACTTTCTGGTGTGGAGAAGTTAATCTTAATAGTTGGTTTCAATTCAATGTAGTAAATGACATAAGTGAGGTATTGACAGACAAATTAATTATTTCTGTAGCACGTTTCTAAATTGTAAGTGGCAGAAAATTAATAATGAGTTCCTTGGTTCTTTATTCTACTTTCTTTCAGGAACTACTTGGACACAGGAAATTGTAGATCTGATACAGAACAATGGAGACATTGAGAACAGCAGGCGGGCTCCCATTCAGCTTAGACAACCTTTCCTGGAGTGGTTCAGAAGAGTAACCCCTGGTAAATCTCCAGTTTAAAAATCATAATCTTCACATAGAGATGGACAATTTGGGAGTGGAGAGTCTGAAAGTCTACCACACACTTAAAAAACAAACAAACAAACAAACAAACAAACAAACAAACTTTCTTTTTTCCCAATTCTAAATACTGAATGAAAGTTATCTTTTCTTGTGCAAAACTAGGTAGGTCCCTTGACTTAAATAAGTATTTAGCCCTAATAATTAACAATAGAGGTACTATCTCTATATTTAATGAAGTGGCAATGAGTTACGACTGCCAAGAAATACCTACCTAGTCCTCCCCCAATGGAACCCCATTGTGTTCCCATGTGGGATCCCAGTGCCAATGTCAAGGAAGCCTGGCACCAAGGACACAAGTGTGCAAAGTTAGAATCACAATGCACTTTCCGTGGAAAAATAATAAATTGTGTAGCTACAACTAAGATTTTTATAGCTCTTATCACATGGCAGGCATTATTCTAAACACATTCCATGTATTAATGCATTTGGTCTTCACAACCCGCTTCTGAGGCAACTGCTATTTTATACCCATGTAACAGATGAAGTGGAGACACATGCAGGTCATGATTTGCCCAAGGTCCACAACTAAATAGGTAGCTGAGCCAGATTTGAACTCAAGAATTCTTTTTCTAAAGTCCATGCTCTTAACAACTAAGCCGTGTGTGTGTGTGTGTGTGTGTGTGTGTGTGTGTGTATGCTGTAGAGACTACTCCAGATATACAGATCTGAGGTATAGAATGGAGTTAAATAGACTATGGTGGACCAGCATGGGAACCTGATCATCTTTAATGATGCTGATTCTACAGAAACCCATTCGAATCCAACCTAAAACAACTGTCTTATGAGCTCATCTTTGGAAAGTGAATCAACAAATTAATGCTCATTGTTTGTGTCTTTCTTTCTTTCTTTCTTTCTTCCTTTTTTTTGAATTAGTCTAACATGCACCATGTTTTTAAAACTGCTCAGTCAGTGTCAAACCAGGGAAAAGTGGCAAAAATGAGGGTTAAAAATAACTGGGACCAATATTGAAAAGTGTTGTAGGCTACATGCAGTAATTTGGGTTTGATATTAGAGGCCATCTGTGGACACATCTTTGGGAATCATCAAGACCTCTACAACAATTTCTTAATTATTATTTTATTTGAATGGTAATTTAGCAATAAAATGTAGGCATGCTCTGGATCATCTAGGTGATCAATGCATAACTTACTACAAGGTCTCAGTGTCCTCTTTTGTATCTGTGTCAACAACCCCTGATGCTGAGTGGTACTGTTGTAATTATAAGGCTAATGACACGAGAAATAGAGAGGGAGACTCACTAGTAAAAAATACACCAAGTGAAGGACAATGTGTCAAAGATTTTAACACAAAAAATGAAACATAAAGTACTAAGTACTTAGAAAAACAGGGAAGAATCTTTTTATCACATAGGATTGAAGAAAGGCTAAATATGACAAAAGAACCCAAAAGTTTAAATGAAAAAAAAACCCCGACAAAATCTAGTGCATAAAAAGTAAAAATTTTTTAAAAATTAATACAAACCTTTAAACAAAAAAATAAATAAATAAACTAATTAATTAATAATAAAAATTAAAAAATAAGTCGGAACAATTTTCAGGAATTGACCAGGCTAATGCAATGTCTTCACCAAGGACGCTGAAAACTCATCTTCCTGTGCAACTACTGCCTCCGTCCTTCTGGGAGAAAAATTGTAAGGTAAGTTTGAAGCAGAAAATATTCAGAGATGAATTTTCTTCATAATAATATTGTGTTAGAACCATTGTATAGTCACCCCCATGTTGTGTATACCAGGTGCCCCAAGGACTAGATCATGGGACCTGAGATCATCTTCCATGTTCTTCATCTCTCATTGACAAGGATGGGCTCAGTGTACACCTGCACTGAGAAGAGGAAGAGGACCAACATCTATTAGGCTTGGTTCTGATCATCCTCAGCCTCTCTGTGATGCGATGATGGGGGAGGTGCAGATGGGCACCTGGTAGCTCAGAGATGTTATACAACTTATCCAATGATAAACACTGGAAGATGAAAGAAATGGGAGGGCTGCAAATCCAGGTCTTCTTGACCTGATGGCCCATGATCTTTCCACTACCCTATGCTGCCTGCTCTATGCCTCCTACAATGATAGCAGTCTTCCTAAGCTTATACACAGCTGGCCTGCTCCTAGCCTTAAGGTAATGAGTATTTATTTAAGTGATCAGATGACTGCATCTTTAAAACCATGTGCTCCAATATCCTCTCACTTTTTTTCGCTTGTAGCTAAACTGCCCCTTTCAAGTATCTAAGGGTACCTACAAGTTCTAATTTTTCTGAGACCTGATAAAAAACAAATTATTTTGTCCAAATCTTGTAAACATAAAAATTATTTTCCATATTGAAGCCTGTAGGGGTCCAGGTGGTTGTTCACATACATCTTGAGTTGGTCACTAAAGAACTCATTTCAACTCTTTCAGAGCCCCAAGAGACCATTCATTGCCTTATAGTCTAAAAAAGTGCTCACCTACAGGGAGAGACTGCAGAGGGGCCCTTGGCACTTAGTCAAAGAAGCCCCTGGCCTTCTCTTTCTATGAGACAATTCTGTGCCCTTTGACAGTCTTGTCAAGATCCACACCTTATACCATTTCTGGTTCTCTAGAGTGTATCCAGAGTCTTAATCACTCTATCTTGCTGACCTAGCATGTCTTCCTGTGTAGATCTTGGTTCAGATAATAAAAATAATGACTAACGACAAATGTCAATATATTTCTTTTTTTTTAATTAAAATTTATTGGGGTGACAATGGTTAGTAAAGTTACATAGGTTTCAAGTATACAATTCTGTAATACATCATCTATGTATCACACTGTGTGCTCACCACCCAGAGTCAATTCTCTTTCCATCACCATATATTTGATCCCTTTACCTTCATCTACCACCCCCCCTTCCCCCTTACCCTCTGATAACCACTGAACTATTGTCTGTGTCTATGAGTTTTTGTTTCTTTATTTGTTTGTCTTGTTCCTTTGTTGCTTTCAGTTTTATATCCCACATATGAGTGAAATCATATGGTTTTCATCTTTTTCTGTCTGACTTATTTCACTTAGCATAATAATCTCAAGATCCATCCATGTCATTGCAAATGGCAGTATTTCATCTTTTCTTATGGCAGAGTGGTATTCCATTGTGTATATATACTACATCTTCTTTATCCAATCATCTATGGAAGGACACTTTGGTTGTTTCCATGTCTTGGCCACTGTAAATAAAGCTGCAATGAAGATTGGAGAATATACATTATTACAGATAAACGTTTTCAGATGTTTTGGGTATATACCCAGGAGACGGATTGCTGGATCATATGGTAATTCTATTCTTAATTTTTTGAGGAACCTCCACACTGCCTTCCATAGTGGCTGCACCAATCTGCATTCCTACCAACAGTGTACAAGTGTTTCTTTTTCTCCACAGCTTCTCCAACACTTGTTATTATTTGTCTTATTGGTGATAGCCATTCTAATGTGTGAGATGATATCTCATTGTAGTTTTTATTTTAATTTCTCTGATGATTAGTGATGTTGAGCATTTTTTCATATGTCTGTTGACCATCTGTATGCCTCTTTGAAGAAATGTCTATTCAGGTCCTCTGCCCATTTTTTAATTGGGTTGTTTATTTTTTTGTTGTTGAGTTGTATGAGTTTCTAATACATTTTGGATATAAGCCCTTTATTAGAGGCATTTGTAGACACAACCAGGCCTGGATTGGGAGTAAGAGTAAAGCACCATAATGCAGAGCTGGGTAAGGTGTTCTGGGAGTAGAGAAGTAGAAGTATATAACTCCTTGACAAGGAAGGTTACAGGGTGACAGAGGAGTGGGGTCATGAGGAGTAAACAGGAAATTGCCAAGTGATAAGGGAGGGAAGAGCATTCCTGTTTACTAAAAGAGCAGAAGCCATGACTCTTGTGCTTACGAAAATACATACAAGGCCAGAAATGAAGCCTGAAAGGTTGGCAGAAGCCAGAGTGAAGAACCTCATCGTCATGCCAAATTTCTCTATGGGACTTGGGTCCCATAGAAAAACTTAAATAAGGAAGTGAAATGATGCCATTTACATTTTAGAAAAGTCTCCTGGGGGCATGGTGGTGTGGAGGGATGAACAGAACTGGGGCAAGACTGAAAGCAGGATATTAATGGAGATGGTAGCAATAGTCTAACGAAAGAATTAGGAAGACTTGAATTAAGACAAGGAAGGTAAAAGGAGTTAAACATATGGTGACAGAAGGAGATTAGACTGGGTAGTGAGCACACAATGAAGTATACAGATGTTGTATTACAAAGTTGTTTGCCTGAAATTTATATAATATTATTAAACCATGTTACCCCAATAAATTTAATTTAAAAAGTAAATTAAAACAAACTAATAAAAGCAGCAGTGAGGAGATGAATTCCAAATGTAAGGAACAGACAGAATCTATAAGACTTGGTCAAGGATTGGCTTGGATGAGGTGTAAAAAGAAGCATCTAGTAATATTTTGTGATTTTAATTGTTTGATGGTGGTATCATTAATAGAAAGAAGGAATGAAGGAGGAAGAGTAAGTTTATCTGAAGATGAATTGAATTTTTAACCCATTGAATCTGAGACTGTAGGGCATTCAAGTAGAAATATATGAGTATATAGCTAAGGACAGTGGCATATATTAGGAACATATTGTCATAGATATATAAAATATACAGCAATAGGAGAAGCTGGCAAAAAAAACAAACAGGAAAAGTAAACAAAATGAGAATAAACGTAGGCCCCAGGCAAAGCTCTAAAAAGAGCCAACATGGAAATAAAATATTTTAAACTTTTGGTGATCACAAACCCCACTGAGAATTTGAGAGAAGTCAGGTCTCCAATTCTGGCAAAGTGCACATCAACACACAACGTTGTATATTATTTTATGGAGAGGCATAGTCCTCTTGATGTTCATCAGTTTAAGACCTCCTGATTTATGTGAAGAATGGCAGAAAAGGACACTCTGAATAAGGATGGCCAGAACGGTTAGAGAATCTCAAAAAAAAAGTGCTATTGGAGAAGGAGGGAGGGTTAGTATGACCTGTGGGCAAGAGCAAGAGGAGACTGAAGACCTAGATGAGTGTCAGATCATGCAGGGCTTTGTATATCAGGTCGAGAAGTTTTAACTTAACCCTAAGAGCAATTTACAGATATTGAAAAGTTTTATACAGGGGAGCAAGCTGATCAGATCTGCGTGTTTACAGGATTATACTGGCTGCTGGATGATGACTGGAAGAGAAAAAAGATATACCTGTGGCCTTTAGGACTTGCTTACTATAAACACAGACAGATGATATGTACATTAAATGCACAATTTCTAAATCCTTTTACCATTTACATTCTGGTTTTTTTTCTATTTCTTCTGACCACTTTAGATAATATATGTGGCAAGGAATGCCAAGGATAACATGGTGTCCTACTACTATTTTCAAAAGATGAACAAAGCACTTCCTGAGCCTGGAAGCTGGGATGAGTACTTTGAAACATTCATGTCAGGAAAAGGTAAGCCAAATGGAAGAAGGAACCAGTCTTCACCTATGTCTGCAGAGGATAATATTGCCCATAAAATCTTCTTTTCTTTTTTTAAGTTTTATTATTAATTTCAGGTGTACAAAACAACATAATGATTAGATATTTACACACTTCAAAAAGTGATAACCCAAACAAGTCTGCTATTCATCTGACATCATACACAGCTATTACAATACCATTGATTATATTCCCTATGCTGTACTTTACATCCCATGACCATGTGTGTGTATATATATATATATAGGTATATGTGTGTGTGTGTGTATATATATATATATATATATATATATATATATATATA